GCTCTGTTAAGCTTTATTTGTAGAAGAAATTCTTAATTATTTTTCCTTTTATATGAAAGCGATATTAAAGCATAAATATAAGGTGTATTTTTTAATAAACGTGTGTGTGTGTGTGTAAAATTATAAAGTAAAACGTAAAAATGAGGAAATATATAATAATATAGATCGATTTATTAAATGGATAAACCTAGAAACTTGTTTATTTCGATTTTAATTTTAATTTTAGGAACACTTTCATCACTTGTCATATCGCCGTACTTGAGCGCGCGAAATCTCAGGTCTATCATTTGTGTGTGTAATAGAATCATTTATTATTTAAAAACTATTATAGCCTCGACATTTTTGTATTAGAATTTTCGTCTTTAAATTTTCTAAAGAATTTATTATTAAAAGGTTATCCAGTGGTTTTAGTACACCCTGTATGTACAATACATGTGCGTCCAATATTATATATAAATTTACAAACAACTTGATAAAATCATGTATAAATGATGACATTGATGGATCTAGTTATACATATTTTATATAATTATTATGTAGTTAGATATAATTATTATATGTACAATTACATCTGAATTTTTTTTCCGGGTGGAGACTTTGCGGAGTGTGTTTGTCAAGTAATATTGAACATCAACTCGGATTCGTAAACTTGCGTAAACCATCTAAGGTAACTTAATATTGCGTAAGCGGATAGATTAACTCTTACGATCTGTATAATCCGTACGGGTAAATGATGCGTATAACGCGATATCGCGCGAGGGTAAACGCATAATTCTGCCAGCATATAGAAGATATGTAGTTGATTTACATAGCATTACAACGCCTTTGCACAGACGCGGTTTGCGGATCAAAGAAGAGGCAGAAATCTGAGATCAAAGTTTTCGCATTAGATAGGAATTCTCGAAATGCCACGCGAGGCCAAGCGAAATTATGCAATCATATCTGTGCGAATATTTGACTTCCTCGGCTCGGCAAATCTCGTTCCGTTTCGACTCCCACGGTAAGTGTACTATGTGTACGTATACACGTGCGTTTGTAATTACGTGCGTCTGATTAAACATTATAATTGGCAGTTGACTGAGACTCGTTAGAATCTCCATCTGCGGCTGTGATAAGCGTGACCATCGAGTCGGACATCGATTCGTCACAGTTTCTGGCTTAATTATGTAACGATCGTATACGCAGACTTTCAGCTGGCCAATACTTTTATTCGTAATTCACAATCAAATGTATGTACATGTTAAATACTTCAATTATTTAAAGTTGATCTTAGCGTAATTACATTAAACTTTTCCATATTTGACATTAAACCTTTTACTGACTACGCTGCATTGTCAAAGGTAATTAAAAAATGACTGTGTTTCTAGGAGTTTGCGCTCGATGATTAAATGAATTCGAATTATAAAGTACTAAAGGTGCGTCATGATTGTGTGCGCTCGGAAACTTTCTCTACCCCCTTAATTATTCATCAAATCAAATGTTTCGACTGGTAATTTCGATGTTTGATTCATCGGCTCGTAACGAAGTTATGTTAACGACTATGTGAGTCCCGAGTGGATATAGTCACGTCTTGCAGTTTAATTGCAATTATGTGCCGGCAACTTTCCGCGCGCAACAACTCCAATAGCGTCACAAGAAAGAAATGAATTCTGACGGGAAGTTTCAATATGCTATTTGCTAGCTCGTAGCCAAGTTATATCACGGCCTTTCTAATTTCAAACGGACATGATTTGTGCGTCGTTTATATGTCAAGAACTTTTAATGTACAATATGGTTCTAATTATTCTGTAATAACTCAATCTAAATATATAGCATGAATTTCAATACATGATTCATAATTCCGTACATAACAAAATGTTGTGAGTAACATTGAACTGAAAATTTATATTATTTACAGATAGAAAAATTATGTTAAATATAATTTAACTGTAGGGTAAATCCAGGTTGCCGCACATTTTGGCATTTTATGTTAAAAATTACGTAAATCTCTAGATTTTGAACATGCGGCGTTTCTTCGGACACGACATCTCTCCCGGAGTTACCCTGTGTGTGCACAAATTTTTACAATTAAACACACTCATAAAATTGTTGTACACTTATATATAAATAAATAGATTGAAACTGATATTCGGCGCGCAAAAATATTGAAATATTCTGTTTGACAATCTCACAATCAGTATAACTAACATGTCATGATCAATGAGTTTTAATACTATCCCATTTTTATTTGCAAAAAATAAAAGCCATTTCTCTGTTAACGATTAACGGAAACCGTGTAATAACGTGGTGAATTGTGTCGATATATCGACAGCGAATATAAAAACTGATGGCTATTAAGCAGTCACCCGCGGAAAGTCAGATAAATTATTTTGCGGAGAGCCAGATAAAATCGTTTAAACGTGTAAAATAATACTTTATAGACATAAATACAGATATAAAAAGAATAATGTGAATATAAACTTGATGCGTATCTGTACGTCGGAGCGATCTTTTGGACACAATTTATTATACTCAATTCAGAATTGACTTCTTTTATTTACGATGATTGCAAATGACTAGGTAATTCATTTTAATGTTAGAAAATTGTGCGTAAACTATTATCATTCCATTAATAATTGTCATATAAGTCTTCGAGGTTTATAACGTTTTAATTAGTTAAATTATTTTATATCGTTTCTATCTTGATTCTTCCTTGGCTAATATGAAAATTCCAGTGCCATTCGACACTTTTGACTTTTGATTGATCACGCATAAAGACGCTTATTGATGACTGTAGCTACTTCAAAAACTTTATTTATCCGTCAACGTCTGAAAGACGAGTAAATCGTGTTTGTTAGAGATGACGGATGCAAATTAGGGAACATAGTTGAGGTCGAGGATAATATTTCTAGGGAAGTGAGCTTAATCACGGGTAGCTCTTTAATAATTGCCTTATCCGCGTAAACAGGATATTCGTCGCGCAAGGCGATCGATATTCTTGTACGACTTTTCAGTTTTTCCCTATTTATTAACAGCATAATGGTATTTTTTCATTAATTATATATGAAACTTTTAAAAAACTATAATGAAAACTTGGCTACACAAACTTTGCAATCTCGATTACCAATAATTATTTGTAAAATAATCAGAAGCATTGTTCTTAGGCTTAAATTACTTTTCATATTGCGAATTATATAATGTTTCTCTAATTGTAATAATTATGTAATTATATATACTTTTAAATTACGAATCACAGAAAAGAGGATATATTGATAATTGAACAAAATTAATTCGTTAACAGTTATTTTTGCGCGTTGTATTTTACCGTGTGAGTGTGTGCAACACATTGTGTGGTAAATCTGCTTTGGGTAATTCAGATTCGTTCAGTCGTGTCAATTTATATTATGAAATTGCACTATTTCCAGGCAGCATGCCTAGGAATGCTCGTTTAACTCTATAAATGACGCTTCGATGTTGAATGCTAACTTTTAGTGTTATAGCTGTGCCGACAGTGAGTCACATGTAGGTGATTGTATTTACGTAATTAGTAGGTTTTATATAGCTCGTGAAAAATAGTTCTTCGTTTTGTGCTGCGCTTTGTTTCTTCGTGTAACTCAAAGCTGTTGCTTTTTAATTTAAACCGAATGTTATAAAAGTTGTGTAAAAAATCAAGAGAGAGAGAGAGAGAGAGAGAGAGAGAGAGAGAGAGAGAGCAAAATATAATAAAGAATTTATTATTGCAAATAGACTTTACACAAAACCCAAGTTTTCGCTTATTACAATATATTTGTTACATATATTTATATTACACATATTACATGTAATATATTTATAAAAATTTCATCTTGAAAAACCAAAATGTTATGTTGTGCCAAAATAAAAGTCACAGCAGACCTATGTAAAATTATATTTCTAGCGTGCATTACTTATTATATGAAAGAGAACTCATTGTCATCTTTTTTCATATTCTACTTTATTCCGTTAATAGAAGTAAAAGAAGCGCAACACGCACGTATTTGTACAACAATATATGTAGAAGTTCATCTCTCTTACAGTACATTACAATCGGCGATTAAAACTTGAGTGGTAACGTTGTAAAAGTTACGATGCCTACTTTCCTGGGAGTTTTTTTAACAGCGTCTAGTTGGAAATTCGATCCTACGATAAACTTCAATCCTATCATCGTAAAACGAAACGTGTTCTCTAGAAACTACGATAACTCATTGGGTTGAAGATAATTTTGTCCAAAAAATAAAATCTTATCAAAATATTGAATGTAGTAAAAGGTAACCGTTTTTAGTTAGAACGTATAAATTTAGAAACACTATTTTGAAGAAAATGTATACAAAATTGTAAATGTATGAAGATATATTAAGAATACGTCTAAATTTAGTAAAAGTTCTTTAATACAGTTTACTTCTACTCATTTCTTCAAAATTAGAAGAAAAATGCACTCTTTTTGTAAGTTATTTTACAGTTTATTATTTTTATTATTAACACAACGATTCCCTGTCTTTTCTACAGAGGGAAGATGAACGAGATGGAGCAGATTCCTGAGGGTTGAGACCGCGTGGATCCTCGAGATGATCGGTTGGAGAATGCAGCCGACCGCCTCGGTGCTCGGCGTCATCGCCATTGTCTTCGTCATGATTACTGTCACTGCATCAGGTAAGCGATTTAAGGCATAGTTTGTGCTTGTCGGTTTTCATTTTGGCGCAGGTCTACAAAATATCTAGTAGAACTTCTTGTTAGATAATTTTGTAAAATAATATAATACAATGTAATACAAATTTCAACTTAATTTAATCTTCTGACCACTTGCACACGTACAACCGTTTCATATTCGGCTAATGTGGTTTTATTCATTATTATTAAAAAACGACATATAAATAAAAATTCATCATGAACCAAATGGTTCACCGAATAATAATTAAGTATAAATAATACAAAAGTTGAATTAATTTTCTAAATTATCTAATGTACACGTTATAATAGCGTAAACGTTGAATTAAGTATAACGAATTAATAGAATCTTTTTAAAACATTTTACGTATGCGATATTCATTGCTTGTAAAATATCGCGACTCTTTTCGAAAGATAACAGTTGGTAGAATTTCAATATCTGTGAAATGCTGACCACACTAAAAGTCGCAGATATTTTCTGTATCATATCTCAAAGTCGAAGTCGATTTTCACGCTATAAATTCAAGTCGCTCACTCTCTGCTGGGCACGAATTTTATATGGTCCACTTGTTCGGCTGAATACATCTCGCGACGTAATATTATTGCGAGTAACCGAACGGTTCATTTGTCTCTGTTTATCGGAATACGAGGATTTTTAATTAGCTTGAATGTCTAACTGCGCTATAAGCGTTGAATCGTAACAACGGAAAACGGCCGTGCTCGGCAGGATAAAGAGGGCGAAACTCTTTTGTAGCTACCGAGCCAGTTGTTCTATAGTCAGTCTTTATACGAAGATAACCCCGCCGGAATTTACTTTCTTGCGCTTCCTAGCAATCACCATTTGGTAGGCGAATGCCCTTTCACGCAGTTCCGCGCACCCTACGAAACCTGAAAGTACCGGATAACGAGATTGCGCTTAACGTTGCCAGCTTTTTCATAGATAAAGACATTGTTATTTTCATGAGTCATGGTAATTCTAATTTTAAGCGGTACGCTTTTTTCCCGTAAAAGGAACAATTAATTTAAGTATTAGCCGCTTTGATTAAATAAGAATAGGTCTTATCAGAAAGAAGCAAATGGATTGAAATGTGTACTTTTTTTACTGCAGGTGTGAAAATCAAAAGGGTTTTACATCTTTTTAAAATAGATCTGCAGTATTGAAATGTCAACATTGGTACAATTTTGTGTCACGTCAGAAAATTACATGATCAATATTAAAGAATAAACAAAGTTATATAATATTGAAAATGATATAATTGATATTAAATTATAATATTGTGATGAAGCATATCAATTTATATAACGATATAGCATGCGTTCAAAATTGCATAACGTGCAAATGGTGTTGGATAAAGAGTAATATTAAAGTGGTTATAAAGAGTCGTGAAGAAATAATTAATATAAGGTCTTGGATTCTACTGTAGAGATATAAATCTACACGTAGAGAAGTTTTTCTTAAAATTTACCCCGAAACTCATGTAATCGTGGAACAACGTGGCATTTTGAAGAACTGTATGAGTCTTTCTGAAATTTTGCCATACACTTTACTAGTAAAATTCTTCGAGATGCCATGTCGTCCCACGATTACACGATTTTCAGGACAAATTTTAAGAAAAAATTCTGTCCGTGTACAATTATACAAATTAAGAGATTTTTGCTTATCATTGCTTACATTTAAAGTCATAAAATGATTAGAACGAGTAAAATATTTCTTCGTGGTGACAATGTCGTGCGAATAACGTAAAAAATACTCTTTCGAATCCGGATTTCCTCTCTGTACACTCACTTTTAATTCAACTTACCGACCGACGTCCATCTGGGACTGCATCTGTCGCGCCCGTAGGAATAATCTGCGGAATTTCCTTCTTCGCACGTCTCGCGAATTTGTCTATCACACGTGACAAGCGTAAATCCTTGCTGACAAATTGCGGAGCGCGGAGATAGGTGCGCCACGTTACTTCGGCACGTCCGCTCGATCGCAGCCGGGCTGAAAACGCGCTCGGCTCGAAGGTGGAAAAGGGAATTAGACGCGAAATTTGCAGACACGGCGAATGAAAAATGATACGTTACTTATGCATCGGTTACACGGGCCCGATCGAAAGCTATCAATCACAAGGAACAAACGCGAAGTGTATCTTCATTTTATGGCGCGGGCTGTATCGCGGCGAGCTAATCGCCGAAATTTCGCGCGAATCACTTGCACTCCCGGGGGCAATGGCGCTTTTAAGCTCCAGCCGCCGGCATATCGCACGGCGGCGATCAATCATTCGCACAATCGCTTGTATTCAGGGCGCGAGATTGAAGAAAAAGCTTCCCCGGACGGATTGCCAACAAAACCCGAGACGAGCGAGCGCCTTATCTGTTATCACAGAACGTGTTATTCGGAGCATGTTCACAGAGATCGGACTGCCACGAATAATAATACGTGTAATCCCGACAAAGCGAAGATTAATATGCCAATAGAACTCTGATAACACCATCGGGAATTAATCAAAACGGAATCGAAATGTGCACGAGTCGCAACTTAAATTCCACGTCGGTTTAGTTTCAAAAATATCTTCTTTTAAGTACAGGCTTGATATGAAATATGGGGGCAAATAAATGATGATAAAGTGATCCTTCTACGGGCAAGGATTGCTCGGAAGAATCCTGGGATCCTCGCGGAAATCATTATACACACGTCCGCCGTTTTATAAATCATCTTTCAAATATATTTCCTTGAGGACACAGCTTGTGTGTGGGTATATAAAAGCGCCGAGTAAATAAATCGTGATATATCGATTCGGTTGGAAAAAAATGCACGAGAGAATCTAGCGATCTTGAAATTTTCCACCGAAATCTCTGTGTACACGTCTGCCGTTTTATAAATCATTACGAACGTCGTCGGCGGCCAAAATTACACGGCGCTGCTCGACACGATCGATCGATCACTCGCGACGCAAAGCGTGCGCTAAATTGCTTCCGAACGACGAACGACGAACGAATGTCACGTTGTCGTTGCTGTTGCTGTTGCTGTTGCCATTACAGCCTGTGCTATCGCCGTGTCCGGCGATATCGATTCACCTAAACAAGATCGCCCACGCCAAATATCGCGATGTACATCGGCTCGCTGACGTTTGCGCATTTTCCGGACGATATAAGCGAGATCGGCGATTCTCAAAATTTTTACAAACCTGTATACAGTGATAGAAATTGTCAACGTAGACAAGATAGTCGAGATGCGGAAAAAGGGTGTAGGTAAAAAGATTTATTTTTAAAGTCGTAGAAAACTGTGCAAATTTGAAAAATAATTTGCTGTAATTAATAATTTGTGACTAACACACCTTTTACAAGTCACTTATCCACAGATTCTTGCCAATAAAATAATATTACATCAAGTAAAAACATAACAAACGATTAATTTTTTCCGAATTAAAAAGTTCAATAATTTCATAGTTTTTTAGTAATATCAGTGTGGCGAGATATTCGTCTTTGAAATGTAAAACTTTTAACACACGGCACGATAGAAATGGTATGTTTCACAGCTTTTTTTCTTCTATGCTGATTTGGTGATGTTCAATTTTCCGGAAGAGTAGCAAAGATTAAAGGTATAAAGTTGGACCGGTGTGGTTTCTTGTAGCATAATGGAGAAAATTGAAGGACGAGTGTCTGAGGAACTATATAAAAGCTATTCCGAATAATAGTAGAATAGAAGATACAGAGGGAGATAGAGCGCTCTTTGACAGGAGTCGCGACTGATGGCAATTCTCCCCGTTTGCCGCATGGGCAGATACAGGTGATCGCTCTAAATTCATGGGCAGATATAGCAACTATTACTGTTGTGAAAGCAATATCCACTTGCGTAAATAGGATTGCGACGATTGTCAGACATCGCGCGATACACATCGGAACATCAGCGAATCTGCGTTACGGCCGCGATACAGTTACGATATACAGTTTCATTGCACAATAAATAACGCCGCAGTGTAAGAGCTTTATCTTTTAAAGCATTGCTACGTATATATCTTCAGAAACATCTGTGTGGTTTCATGAATAAGAAAAGACATCTCGCGGTATTAATTCTGGGATCAATATGGACACGAAAGAGATTATAGGTAAATGCGATACATTCTTCTTCTTTTATAAAATTCATCTAGAAGAGTTACATGCTCTCATAATTTTTTTTTTCTACAGATACTTCAGTGTATATTTTATTTTTAGTTCAGTTAAGTAACTCCCCTGCAATTTTGCTAATGAACAGTTTTCGATTTGCAATAAGTTGTTGAAAAAAAAACCAGTTGGAAAACTACGTGGACGGACTTTGCAACTATTCTAGAAAAAAAGCCGACCACTTGTATTAGCGGTAGAACAAAGATTTTTAATGATATAAAAAGAAATCACGTTGACCGCGCTTTAGATGACAGAGAGCGCGCCGAGCGAAGTTTTCAAAAGAGTTGTTTATCACGAGTTTCCCCGTGGACTTCGATTGTGATCGAAGCCACGGGAGAAGTGAAACCTTATACCGGAAACTTTGCCAGCGCTTTCGCAAATAAAAGCACGCTCGTGATACGCACGCTCGCGAAATGAAATTCCTGCGGAAGTAAACCCGCGGCACTTTTGTTTCGGGGAAAATACGTGCCGCTATGCCGCGCACAAAGGAATTACACGCTGTTATTATCACGTAGCTCTCGTCGCGCGGAATATTTCCAAGTGAACGGGATGTCGCGCGCAGATTTTCGGCCTTTGTCCCACGTAGGTAGTTTGCCGAAACAAATTTCCGAATTGGGAAGATTGTACCAGCTATACAATCTAGCCAAATTCTTATTCTAAAAGTGCGTGCCTTCGTTACGGGAGTACCGAGATTAAATTGAATGCCACGTAATCGGCTTTGGCGGTATATTCCCGAATTTGCACTCGCGTCGCTCTCTCAAAGCAAAACGATTCGCGTATTGTCTCGCCGAATAACCCTTTGAGATCTGAGACTTTGATTGGCCGTTTATTGGCTCTCCTGCGAGAGGGCTCTCGAAAAGCCCATAAAACTCCCGGCCGCGCTTCTTACGCCGACATTTAAATCCTCGGCGGCCGACCGGAGATGATCCTACTCCGTTTCGAGTCATAAATCTCGGCGAAGCGAACGCCCCGCCTCGCCGGCATGTCGATTCACCCTCGACACGACCGACGAACCTGTGTTCGCCCTTACATCGCCCGCCCACCATGCGCATACATCCGTTCTGACTTAGCTTACTTATCGTTAACATGGCTGTTTGTTTCCTCCCCGCAGAAGCGGAGAACGATGCCATTGAGCGTGGCATTAATCACCTCGATGACGAAGATCAACGCATCGACGAGAGAATCGCGAAGAATCGCACTGTCGAAATCGCTGGCTGGCCTCGCGGCAACGACACAACAGCCCTCGAGGAGGTCGTTTCCGTTCTCACGGTTGAGTACCCGACCTCGACAAAGGCCTCACCCCCGCTCGTTACCGCGACGGATTCTCGCGTCGACAACGCATCGAGGAAATACGCAGATGATCAGATGATATTCGCCTCGAAGAGGATCGAGGACTCGGGACAGGCGGAAGAGGCTCTGTCGAAAAGATTGGACCACGAAGACGTTCGAGGGACGAACGAGTCGACGATAGAAAAGTCGAGGGACGACTGGCCGACGATGATATCGGTGGAAAGGGAGGAAGATGTTACGGAAGCGAGAAACGTGCACGATATCAGGGCGATCTCGTTCCAAGTACCGCCGCTGGAGAGGGAGGAAGATCAGCAGGACAGCCGACAACAGGGAAAGACTAGCATCAGCCATATGGATGAAACGAGGAAGTTCGGCGAGGCCAGGAAAAATCAGTCGAGACCGGCGAATAACTTGCTGACCGGCAAATCGACGAAGGCCTTCTACGAGATTAAACCGTCGATCAGGACTCTCGAAACGGAGCGCGGTCGTGATCATCAGTTCCAAATAACCACCCACCGAACGTTGTTGGATAGGAAGTTCATCTTGCCCAGCGACAGCGCTTTTGGAAAGTTCGGCCCGTATTTCGAAGACGGCGACCAAGAGATCAATGTCACCGCGAGAATCGGCAGCACCGTTTTGTTGGACTGCAAAATCGGCATGCTAGGTGATAAAAAGGTGAGCTGCTTCCTCCCCTCATCATTAGTCCAGTAAAATCTACCATGTTTAAAATAATAGAATATGTTCACATTGAAATTGCACGTAATCTAATGTAATCTGATCATAATCCATCTAATATTTTAAACATGGTGGTTACTCTAATTAATCTTTCTCTCGGTAGTTACGAGAGAAACGTCTGATCAGTGAGATAATAACACGGGTTTCGTTATAACTTCACAATCGGCAACTCGTTGCACGGCTGTCGGCAAATTATTGGTAATAAAAGAAAATTTAATTATCGAGTCAGACACTTTTGTTTCACCGATGACAATGTCGTGCAATAACTCAGAGCGTTACGTAGCGAAAATAATGAATAGCGTGAGAGAGAACGTTCTTCGCTCTTAGAATTTGTCGTCGTTGTATCGCAGTCTATCTTAGGAAAAAAAATGATAATGCGATAATAGGTTTTTAATTAATCTAACATTTTTTATCACGTCTTAACATTTTTATGAATTCTTTTAATCATGGTTTGTTACCACAATTATTTTTCCTGTCTAACAATAAGTAATACATTAAAAAGCTGCAATAAGAAAGATAGATATTTCAATAGAAAATTCAATTTCAATTTAGAATATACGTATAGGAATTTGTCATTTTCTCCGGCTCTAGTGCGTTGACTTTAGCGTTTCTTTGGTCCAACTTTTGTTTTTCGTCTGAGCATTTTGCAGATATGAAGAAAATACTAGTAACATTTTATTGCTACGAACAGTAAGTAGTAAACTAGTATTTTTTACGTGAAAATTGCATTGCATACGTTATTTAATTTTGAGATATTTACTTAAATGCTCGTCGAAAAGCGTGATAATATTAGTTTCCCTGACACTATCGCTGAAAATGGCTTAAAGTAAAACCGAAACATACACGGGGAGAGAAGTTTCTCTTAAAATTTACCATGAAAATCACGTAATCGTGGGACAACGTGGCATTTTAGAGGCTTTTATGAGAGTTTTTGAAATTTTACCATTTATTCTACTAGTAGAATGTACGGTAAAATTTCAAAAAACTTTCATAAAAGTCTTCGAAATAAATACGATTTTCAGGGTAAATTAGAAAAAAATTTTAAGGAAAAATTTTCTCCGTGTACGATTTATTGATTGACGGCAATTTAAAAAATCGAGAGTCTTTAAGAGTTAATTGTTCACGTATTTCTATGTACGAATCTCTTTAGTTCTCGTATCTCACTCTATAAATTTCTACTATTTTTATATTACGCAGTTTTCAGTAAATTTCCTTTATCCTGTCAAATTGAAGGAAATAATTGCAGTCTGTGAGATCAAGGTGAAAGAAGGATCTAGGGATCGCGCGAACTTTGTTAGTCTAATCAGAAGGACCGCACATTTTTCTCTGTCAAATAATGCGAATCGAGGGGAAGGCGCAAACGCGATGGAGAAGGTAAAGCGAGGGTACAGAGAAAGATGCTGCGGCTAGTAAGCGGAGGCGCAGATTATAATTGCAAACATCGTTTGTTAGTGTCCGCTGCGTGTACGCTCTCGTCTGTCTTGTCGTTACGAAAGTTTTCGCATTTCAATCAGTGCCGCCTCTCGGTACCACCCGGTCCCTTTCTCCCGTGATTCCTATGTCCATTTGCTCTTCGTCGCGCTTGGACGGCTTGAAGTTCCGAGGCACGAGGCGCTCGGGATTCCCGCGGGATTCATATTCCACGGAATACGTAATGCGAAACCGATTGCGGTGGGACGGTAGTGCCAAGGAACGAAAACGAGTGCTCCAGATTCGAGGCGTGTACGCGTGTTACGTGGACGTCGCCTGCGTTAGCTATAGGAGAAATATAGCGCGTTACGTGAGAGTAGGTGGTGTGCACAACGCGCGCGCACCGAGAATGGCAAACAGCTCGAAGGGAACTTAATTATGAAATATCGCCCGTGCCGTTTGCCAAGTCGTCTGCTTTCAGCAAAACGGCTACTTAAGACGTCGAGGAGAGTGGTTACCCACTCGAGGAAATATTTGTTTGTGTCAAATATTTACATGCAATCGTGGCCCTTCGAGTAGCATGATTCCTATATAATGCAGACATTATGACAAGAAACGCACAGTAACTGTGCGCAATATCTCGGGTTCAACATTCTCTCCGTGTAGGATTGCTAAAAGCGTTGCAAGATTCGATATCCTCTTTTTTATTTTCACCAGACAACACAGGCGCGCGCTTCGCGCGCGTCATTTGCTCTATCTAAAAATTCGCATGGTTTGACAGCTGCAAATAACACGACTGATGCATGTATCGCACAAGCGAGACAGCCAATCGTTTCGGAAAAGCGACAATACTTCGAGACTTTCGACTATCGACTCGACACGCCTATTTTTATATAGGAATCTAATTTAATTATTGATTTTAATTATTTTAAATTATTAATTTATTATATACTTTATATTTATATTTATTATTACATTTTATCAATTTTAATAAATAGGACGAACGGGATTATAGGAGTTGCGTTCTGAAATACACATATGTGAGATTAAGCTAAACTTTCGAAATAGAAGTGAAGATAAAATTCATATCCACCTGTTATTTAATTAGGAAATGTAACGGAATTAAAACATTTAATGCCTTGAGATATATCAAACAAACTTTTAATATATTTCAGTTTATTACATGTAAGTTTAATAATAAATCGGGGTACCTTTACATTAATGTAATAACTGCATGGGAACGAAAAAAGCACTGAATAATTACTGAAGTTCGGTAATTGAATTATTAGAAATTACTGATGTACAGTAATTTTCTCGTAATTATATCTCGCTTACACGCAAGGGGAGAGGGTTTTGCATGTAAGGCCTTTTGCATGTTTCCTCTTTGCGTCACGCCATCCTCCCTTAAACAGAAGTTCAACTATCGTTAATTCCATCATGTTAGAGAACTACTAAAGCGATTCTTCCTGAACTCGATAGCATAACTTTTCCGGCGACAAATTGAATTCAGGCGACACGCACCGTAAGGGCCCGCTCGCCCAGAAATTATTATCCCCCGTTTCCTTCGGCGGGAAGTTCTCCGTAACATAATTCGGCGTGTCTACAAAATCCCCTGGACGGTTAATGTTTCCGTCGCGGACGTTAAGTTTTCGCGAGACAGACTTTTATCCGCGATGACAAACCGTGATAACTCGTCCCCGTGATATCGCGTTATTGCGTCGGTTGGCACGTATGGTATGAGGTCGAATCTCGAGAGAAAGCTTTGCGCAGAAAGAGAACACAGCGGAAATGTCGCTATAGACAGCATAAAGGCTTTGTTGCACTAATAACTGTAATTTTCAGTTTTCCTACAACGATTACAAAATAACCCTCTTCAACATTTTTCTCTCCGCTTACAAATTAATTGGATAAGTTGCGATATTATTCTCAAAACTTTTGCACTATAGTTTTTATAAAAACATGGATACTATTGAATATTTGGCAGTGAGCGAATGAAAATTACTTGGAACCAACTAAATATAAACGTTTTTCTTTACGTAAAAATAAACGACGAGGAGAGGTAATAAAAATGGTCCTCTGTATGCAAGTGATTTTAAAGTAAACCTCGAAATAATTAAATTCTCATATCTGCTCCCTTTTGTAAGAGAAAAAGTCATTACGAGTTTCATGTCATTAAATTTTTATACAGTATATTATCGAATAATCGTATCGTGTAAACCAGCCTTAAGTCAACACATCTCTGCGCGAATACGGGGCTCCGCGTAAATTGTCTGCATTTATTGCCGACATACACGGAGCTCCGCAGAATTGCACGCTGCCTTTTTCGGAGATCTAACAATAAGAGCAAAAGGAATTATTAATTTTTCGACACATTCTACTGAAATATATTTCCGTTGTATTTCATTGCTCGGAGGGCCGTAGTGTCTGCCTGGAGAATTTGAATACCCTCGCGCGATCGTATAAAAGATGTCAAAAATATCGTATGACTTTGAAAAAAAGGAATAGCATGTTTCTTCTTGGTTGCAGGTAACCTGGTTGCAGCATAACAAGGACTTCTTTCGTCTGTTGACAGTAGGCAGAACGCCGTATAGCAACGACCAAAGAATGAGCCTGAATTTTCGGTAAGTCATCCCTTGCAATACAATGTCATCGATCACTGAGCAGCTAAATCAGTTCTTTTTCACAAGGGATGTAACAAACTTCCTTTGTTTATCTTAGTAAGTCGCTTTTAAAACAGAGCTCGGGAACGTCATGTCGCATGATTTTATTATCTTTAAAGAAGAAATTCACGGAGTTATATATACAGCGCGATCGCAAGGATTGAAATTCAGCGACGAGATTGTCAACGTTATTATCATAATTCGTTATCGTTCGCGGCGGTCCAGGCAGCCAACCGCGTAATCGCTCGTCAGAGTCAAATTATTATCTCAGATTTTTACCATCGTCGGAATGAGCTCGACGTTGCCGTCAGCGAGGACGGAGGAACTTCGCTCTCGTCTTCTTTCACCGGGATTAAATCAGCCGTTTTATGCGCTATAAAAATCAGAATCGACCACGCTGTAACGTGAGGTTCCGCGCCGCAACATTACCCTTCGTCCGTTCGAGCAGAGCGTATTATTAGGAGCCTTTATTAGGAAATAAAATGTCAATTTTCTCCCATCCCGGTTACTGTCTCGCAAATTGCATCCGCGTCGGTGGCGTCGCGAAATGTTTTTTTTCTTGCGACCATTACTTTTTCAGCCGAACCTTCAGTCCAAACAGCTTTCTACCATTTTGCGTCCTCTTGCTTGATTTCGCAGATATCCCAGCAATTGGAGACTGCAGATATTGTACGCGAATCCGCGCGACTCGGCGTTGTATCAGTGCCAAGTCGCCACGCATCCGCCTCTGGTTAAAAAGATCAACGTCGTCGTTACAGGTAAGTGAACTTAAGTCAGACCATAGTTGTTATAAAATTTTTTTACGGCGGCCATGCTTCAATAATTGCATCATATTTGCAACAAGAGACAATTCTAATCCAATACTATTTGTGTTTAGTAATGAATGAGGGCGAATTCTACATATAAAGATCTGCTCTCTAAAAGTCAATCAGTGGATTGTCACTGGAAACAGCGAATACTCACTGATTCGCAGTTATAATCCACTGATTGACTTTTACAGAGCATGATGTAAAACAATTATATTGTAAAAAGGAATATTAAAATGAATAGATGAACTACCAATACGCGTAATCAGATATTTTTTACTTTTTATTACACTTTATTAAAACAACTAATTAGAACGTATTCAGTTTCTGGGTTAAAAGGGTTCGCTTTTTCCAAACTAAATTTTGATAATTGAATTTAAATTCTCTAATTTTGGCGAAAGAGAAGTAGCAATTTATAAAACATTAATATGAATAATTAAAAACGGTATAGAACGAGTTGTATTACTGGTTTATATAAATTTTATGTAAATTAATGCGTTCTGTCACACAACCATGCAGTTTAATAAATTAAAAAGCTTTAATAACGACCTAATCGTCACGGAAGACAAGAGTTATATCCGTGAAACTTTCTACTTGAACATTAGCCGCTACCTGTTGGAATACCAACTTGAAATATTCATCGCTTCATCTACGGTGCACGGTAAGCTCAACCTCGTACAAGCTTAATTAATCCGAGCAGAATTCTCACTCAGGTCGCGCGTATGCAAAACGTTTCGCGCGTGTGAACTAAAAAGTCTTGACCCGAAAAGGGATAAATTGAAGGATCGCTTGCTTGCCCTCCCTTTCGCGACCCTACCACAAGAGAATCCTATTCGGGCGAGCGAAATCGTTCTGCGCCAAAGAGAGACGAAGGGGGCCGGCCGAATCGTACGTTAAAGGAAGAAAAGGACAGATGGGGCGAACACGCGGGACGGGGGCGGGGAAAGGGGACAAAACGTGGGAGCGTACGAAGCCGGTATTGCATCGCTCGTCGTTACCCCCAATCCCGTTACGTCGCCGATTCGGTGCAATGGAAACCCGCATTTCTCGGGATAAAGCGCCTCAGCGTGGCTGGTAATCTGATCCGATCTGGAGGAGGATCGGCAAGCGAAGAGTGAACAAAAGCCGCCCCTCCAGAAACCAAGTGGGACAGAACAAACCCGGATAGAGCGACGTCGTTACACACCTCTTCGCTCTGGCCAAATCAAAACCTTTCTTCTTATCATCTGTCATCACGCTCGTAATTTGCAATCATGCGGCATCGGTATTTCTTCGCCTATCGATCTTTGCCCTTTTCGTTAATGAACGATCGATATGTCGATACGACTTACGCCGTTCTGTAGCGATGTAACAGCGGCGATTGCAGCGAAATATTTTTTTCGAAATGACAGAGGAAAAAGGACGTGGAGGCCTTAATGAAAAAATATTGCTTCCGGGATTTAAGGTCAATCGCTCCCATCAATTGTGTTTAGTTCGATAGTGAATCGTCCGCATTTCATCGCTTTACGATGGATCTTCATTTTTATGTCGATTTACGGTGGTATCTATCATTAGAAAAAGCGAGATTCTCGAATGTAAACTAGAAAAATGTAACTTGGGACTCTGAGGAGCATCTACTTGTCTAGATTCTTTTTTAGAACTTCGTAGTTAATTCAGATCGCACGAGAAAGTTTAATTTTGTCGCATTTTGTTATCTCTATATTTTAAACTAAATTATGTAGATATATCGAGAGATGTTTTTCAGAATTTATTATTGAGACCAATAACAAATTAATAAAACATACGTGCCTCTGAGATATGCGCATTAAAGTAAAAACCGGCCTTTTTATTCAAATGCACATATCTCAGCGGAAAAATCATCGTGTCGAAACGAATAAAAAAGCATTTTGAAGGGGAGACTCTGTAATATCGTATGCTTTTTATCCCATTAAGTTGCAACGCTTGCCTCTCACCATGGATCGTCGCAAACTCTGACGAAAATTTGTCAATTTCGCATGCTCTCGTTTTGTCATCCGCCATTTTGAAAAAATTATCTCGCAAAACTCTGATGTATCGATTCTTAAAGTAGAGATTTCAAGCTTCAATTTCCTTTTTTTTGAGAAACCTTTCAATCATCATTGCTCGCGTAGTTATCGTCATTCGAAATTTGATGATTTTTTGACAAATTTTAGGTGTACCGCTTTTTTTTTGGACTGAGTGTATATTCTTAGTATTTTGTATATTTAAATTCCATTGCATTTTTTTATTAACTATGACTACTATAGATTTCTTATCGTTCGATTTCTCACGATGCGCCCTGCATGTAATTTTTAGATATAAATTTGTTGAACTTGGAAAATTCTGTAATTTTCATTTATTTACTTTAAACGCTATCGACGCTTCAATGACTAAATTATCAATCTTTTGCCCAACTAAATGGCAATCGTAATATCCGAAGGGAATATGGCAGCAGACTCAAACCACTTCTCCACCTTCTCCTCTTGTCTCATGAAATATTTTCGCAAGCTCTCCCACATATTACTCGACGTGAATACATATGGCAATTATTTATCTATTTAAAAGGGGTTTCTGCGAACTTCGTGTGTTACGTAAGCAAAGAAATATATGCGCATATATATTTCTTTGCTTTTTATTGTGTGATACGCATAAATCGCGATTGCCGACGACGCGAGACAAATAGTTAATAAAATAGATTAAAGGTAAAAGAAAAAGACGCTGGCGAGGCTCGCGTATCACGCAATCTGGCCTCGTTGCAACTACAATGAGTCGCGGAGCAACGAGCGGAATGAACTTTCGGAAATTCGAATGCATCGTGCAGTGCCGTTTCATTATGTGCCGCAGCGCGATCCCAGCCCGTGCGTATCCGCTTCGTGTGTGGGGATGAAATTACTTTCCCGTGCGACTCTCCTCACATGGATGAGTCCTTTCCGTCCTTTTGCTAAAATACACCGAAACCCGTCGACCTTCCGTCCGTCCCCTTCGATCTTCCGCTCGCGCCTATCGTCTCGCATAACGAGCTCGACATTGCAAAGTACAGCGATGCAGCAGAAGCGGAGTTTTAATCCATTATATCTCGAGATTAAACATGAAACTGTTGAGGAAGAGAGTCAATTGTTAAAGGATTTCTTGAAAGAGCACAGTATTTTCAACGAGCGCACAGTGAATCGCGCAAGATTTTCGAGACATTTGTCCGTAATACTAAACTTTTATCCATAATTTGAATAATATCTTAAGAAAATATTAACACTTCCGAGCTTTTGATCTTCTCGTTAGCGTCCCATACAAATTGCACGCCCGAGGATAAACAAGAAATACGTGTTTCACCATACGATGAACGGAGTTTTAATCCATTATATCCCAAAATTAAACAAAAGACTACCAAGCGACACTGAATAGTCGAAGAGTTTCGTGAGAACAGAAGACAGAGAACAGTTCCCGCATATTATGAACATCGCAGATTAGAGAGAGATTTACGTCTTTAATACTTGTAAGTGAAATCAAGAAATATTTACGAAAAACCAACGTATGGTCTAATAAACATTGAAAATGTTTCTTTCTTTACCCCCTCTATTTATTTAATAAATGATAGATAGAACTCGGAGCATTTGCTAATTTGTACATTTAAAAGTCTTTGCTTATTTAGGATGATGGCAAAAATAGGATTTGTGTCTTGCTATTGACTTGAAAAGTGGAATCAGAAGACAAATCTAGTGATACAGTTACTTTGGGCAACGTGAAGCGGCTTTCACGCAAGTTAGTTCTAGCGCGGAAATGTGATCTGTTTTTACAGCTGGCTAAATAAGCTACGACTGCGAGTACGAAGTCCTGCAACGCGCGAAATGGCTCTTATTAAGGAGCACGCAAACAAGGGCGAATAAAGAGAGCAAACCTATTTTTCCTGAGCTTATTTATCGCGCGGGCAAAGAAATTTAGGAGTTGAAAAATCAACGAACGAAGGTTACGATAAATAACGTGGAAATATTAATAATAACAATCCCTTAATCTCTTCATTAAATTCCGCGTAACGTCACCATTTTTATTTGGATTAAAAAATGTGTTTAATTTTTAATTGCTTTGTGAATTATTAGTGAATTTTTTTATAACATTGTCGGTGAATAGTTTGCATACTTTTACCAGCTTTTAACTCGACACACCTTTTATCTCTATTTATTTCATTTCTCACTCTTTGACTACAAATGGCTTATAAGACGACTCCGCGGTTTCTTATCAGTTTTGTGCTGACTGTGACCGTAATTTGAAACTTTTGACCATACGTTATATCCTTCTTATACATAATCACAGAGATACATTGTCATGCGTGACAGAACGTTTGTTGTTTCAGTTAACTATAGAGTTTCGTGTACAATTTAGATATCGCTTGATAAGGGCTTAAACCAAAGGTCGGAACGTTGTGCGTTACATTTTAATAAAGATTGGCCAGTTGAGATCGACTAATTGTAAGATTTTATTTGATAATTATTACTGGCAACTTTAAGAAATTTGTATTGTTTTTTATAACAAATAGAAAAATGGATTTTTGTGTTTATGAAAACAAGTATACTTGTAAAAACATAAAGTATATAAATTATTTGATAGATAACATAGTTTTTAGCGAAATAGTTAGTCGGCTTTTTAACTCTGTTGGTTTTAAATTTGATAATCTCGGAATTATTTTTTGTTGTTGATATTATAAGAAAAGTATCATGCGAAGAAGAATTTTTCTTTGCAATTGCGTGTTGAGTAGAAATATAATTTAATTAAGATATACATATAGCGTCAAAATCGAAGAAGTATTTGCGGAACAACTGTGCCGCTACGGTTTAATATAGTATTTGAACGCTTAATTTCGAAAAGAACGAAAATATCGTGAACGAGAGACGATCAGGAAAAGCAATCATCGTGCTATAGTATAAAAATAACAACTTTCTCCTTGTTAGGCGCCATTGGTTTTA